TACGGGGGTACAAACTTTGGTTTCACTTCTGGTTAGTAAACTTTTTGTTAATTCAGCACCTTAGCAGTAAGTAAAATTATATCCTCGTAAAAATATAATATTTGAGGCGATTAATTGATTAATTATATCGGCAAATGTATTTTGTTTAATCACGTAATCATCATCGATAGGAGCTAACGATTGGCTAGGTGTATACAACCCACTATTAACTTCGTACGATTACGATGCTCCTTTGACCGAAGCTGGAGATCCGACAGATAAATACTTTGCTATAAGGGATGTCATTGGTGACGTACGTTTGTGATCTTTTTCTTTTTGTGACATACATACGTACATTTTTCGTTTGATATTTCATGTTTTACAAAAAGATCGATTACATCTTTTCGGCTGCAATCGCGTTGCCCCAAACGGAATTAAAATAATAAATATATATATCTATTCTCATATATCTTATATCTAACGTGAAATGTCATTTCACATGGACGCAATTTGAAATTACAGTATCTGCCGTTGCCAAATATGTCCCTCCCAACTGCATCTCCAAAAGGTAATTACGGTTCAGTATTATTGAAACCGGTACTGAAATTGCTCGACCGTCCTTCTCCATTCGTGGTGATCCAAAAAACTAGCGATCAACCTAAAACCTTTGAGGCTCTTTCGGTCAACCAAGGATTTGTCCTTTACGAGACGAACTTGCCGCCTGCTATCTCAGATCCTGCAGCTATACTGCGAGCAATGACAAAGGACAGGGCGCTGATTTACGTGGATAATCGACTATGCGGCACTCTGAGTCGTATTGATAAGATATATACTATACCATTAGAGCGCCCTTACGGCCGTCGCTTGAGCCTGTTGGTGGAGAATCAAGGACGTTTGAATATCGGCAATAATATTCACGAGTTCAAGGTATCAAAGGAATATAGAATTATATATTAATATAGAATAACGCGTAACTGTTGTAGAGAGGTTTGAATCAAAGTTTTTTGACGTCGAATTGAATCAAATCGAATGGAAAAACTTTTATTTAACAACATAATTACTGTTAGATTGAATATTTTAATATCAAAGATAATAAAATAAGAGTTTTATGTAAGAAGAGTAATAATAACACCGGCACACACAAAAAAAAAGTGGTTTGTGCATTTGACCGGACCCAT